TAATTGCATATTTTCTTACGGCAGGCGGAATTGGCCAACTTAACATCAGAACACTTCCCTGAACTTCCAATAGCTCATCCTGAACTGGGAATTTCAGAGTGTTTGGTAAGCATTGTCTGTGTCAATGGGCCATTTCCGAGTTGCCTTGTGCCTCTGTTTGAAAACGAGTTCCCGTGCAAAGCCTTTCATGTGAAAATGAGTTTGATTTGCATGAAAATGAACCTTGTAAGCTGAACACACTTTCATATGAAAGGTTTTGCACGGAGAAATTCCCTATTAGACCAGAGCCCGAGTTTTCTACAAGCAGATAGTCAACGGGAAGCAACCAAAGTTGACTATCAGTCGTAGATAACAAGGGCGAGTAGTCTAATTGTATTAGTATAAATTGACGGTAGTCTCATTGCCCAAAAATGTCAAGTAATGTGTAGAAAGAACTGTTTTTTTTTTGTCACATCAGGCAATTAAATTAAATTAAATTAAATTAAATTAAGGTGGCTCGTACCAGTTTTCATGTTTTTGACAGCTCATAACTTTGTAAGAATAGAACAAAAATTCAAACCAGGGCCACTGTAATATTTTTGTAGGTTTGGATTATATGATGTATACTTGACCTAAAACAGCTGTTATTTTGTCGTCAGCAGTTACCATGGCAACATTCCAAAAGGATTTTCCAGACCTGATTTTTCGCTTATGTCACTAANTTATTTGTTAAGTAATAAACGTAATTGCATATTTTCTTACGGCAGGCGGAATTGGCCAACTTAACATCAGAACACTTCCCTGAACTTCCAATAGCTCATCCTGAACTGGGAATTTCAGAGTGTTTGGTAAGCATTGTCTGTGTCAATGGGCCATTTCCGAGTTGCCTTGTGCCTCTGTTTGAAAACGAGTTCCCGTGCAAAGCCTTTCATGTGAAAATGAGTTTGATTTGCATGAAAATGAACCTTGTAAGCTGAACACACTTTAATATGAAAGGTTTTGCACGGAGACTCGTTCTGGATCAGAGACAAAAAGGCAACTTATACCAGAGCCCGAATTTTCTACAAGCAGATAGTCAACGGGACGCAACCAAAGTTGACTATCAGTCGTAGATAACAAGGGCGAGTAGTCTAATTGTATTAGTATAAATTTACGGTAGTCTCATTGCCCAAAAATGTCAAGTAATGTGTAGAAAGACCTGTTTTTTTGTCACATCAGGCAATTAAATTAAATTAAATTAAATTAAGGTGGCTCGTACCAGTTTTCAGGTTTTTGACAGCTCATAACTTTGTAAGAATAGAACAAAAATTCAGACCAGGGCCACTGTAATATTTTTGTAGGTTTGGATTATATAATTTATACTTGACCTAAAACAGCTGTTATTTTGTCGTCAGCAGTTACCATGGCAACATTCCAAAAGGATTTTCCAGACCTGATTTTTCGCTTATGTCACTAATAACTGAAAAATTAACCCGGTGACCCCGAGTTGTTTTTAATCAATAGCTTTTGACATCTGAAAATGAAAATGCACAACAATTTTAAAATAATTTTACGGAGCTGATTTCTTGTAAACTTGGAAAAACGACAATTTG